TCAAGGCAGTACACTGTTGAATATGTAACATTTCAAATATGTGATGTTTGATTATTGGAAATTGGCAGGCGTTGAAGCATGCACACTGCCTTGAACACTTTACAGTCATTCTCTCACATTCCTCTTGTACACAAAGGCTAATCCGACCATGTCTCTCCAATGATACAATGATGCAACTAAATTTTCAGGGGGAATGTATGGCCCTGGAGTTTACCAAGACTGCATCAATTGTCAAGGTCACTTTCACTAATCCTCCCTCACCAGAGAAAGCTTGCTGGCATGCTAGCTGAAAAGTTGCCTGCAACAATCCACACTAGGGTAAGGTGGCTCTATGACAACTCTGGAGGAATATTAAGATAATCTGCAGCTTGTTTCAAGCTCAGGAGGTCACAATTCAGAGCAGGGTTGAGGCCCTGAAATTTTATTTAGGCTCTGATGTTAAGAAGAAAGTTGTAAAATAATGATTGTTTTGTATAATCACTTTCCTAGATTCTCTGTTTTTTTGATACTAACCAATTTATGATTTTGGGTAGGGGACTGACTGGGTTTTTGTCCAATAGATTAAAATTATTGCATGATTATATACATCTTTGTCAGCAATATTGTCAACAAGAAAAAAGTCATAAAGTGGTTTTGATTTTGTTTGGTATGTTATGTTATAAATCAATCATTTTCATAAATTCTCTGTTTCTCTTTGATTTTTATTTGGCCAACTGAACTTGATGTTTTTTAAAGGGGACATTTGCCCATATAATCCACCCTAGGTATACATGCAGCCCAAATTGGTTTGGTGATTTCAATGGTCAAAATTATTCCAATTTTGATGGTAGAAAGTAGAAATTAATTACGGTACTCACTATTAAAAACATATGTGTAACACCCCTTTACTACAAGTGTAACCCCTTTTATGACAGTGTCAAAATACTTTGGGCTGCATGTATAACCCTAGGATAAAGGATTGTAGCTCAAATGTGAGCATGTATCTCACAAGTATAAAGGTGGCAGTTTGATTCTGTCCACTTCTATTGTGATAGTCACCATGATCACTGGCATCAAGATGAAAGCTGTAAAATAAAATGGTTCAGATTTGTATGTTATATATAAATTAATCATTTTCCCAAATTTGCTGTTTCTCTTTTAATTGTTATTTTGACCAACTGAACTTGTTATTTAAATGGGGTAGGGTTGTTGACGAGTGGGCATGCCACCAACAAAACAGCAACCCAGGTTGCAACCTCAAGTTGCAGAATTTTGAATCAGTCTTAACACCAACTTTATTTTAGAGGGGAATAACACAAAGCAATCATCACACAAGCACCAACTATCAGTGATCAATGCCAAGCCTGGTCTGAGAGGAAGATAGGGAAAGTTTTGCCCAAAGTCTTCCAACATGTTCAATTGCCTTGCTTGTGGGAAAAAGTTCTATGGGGACAGAGTGTGCATTGCATTGCAATTACATATTTGTGATAGGAGATTTTAATACATGCAGTCAACATCAGATTCATTATTCAAATTGATAATCATCAACTGCTCATGTTAAAATTCTTTGATTTTTTTAAATTTTGACTAATAAATAAAAATACTGAACCAATTGGAATCAAAATACCACTATTAGGATGACATTCTGCTCTGATTTATGATTATGTGTGTTTGTGCCTCATATTTGACTCATATAATAAAAAAACAATATAATTATTTACTAATTTGTATTAAATAAATACAATTCATTTATTAATGTAGGAAGGGTCATTAAATTATTGTTGTTGCCTCTTAGACATAAGGTTGATATTTTATGTGGTAGTAATAGCAATTCCAAAACTCACTATACTAGTTAAATTAAAAGATATATATATAATCATGCATTTTCTTTTACAAGTAAAAAATATAATGTGAATTTTTCTATTGATAAAGAACTCTTTTAATAATTTACCATTAGCTATTCCAACCTTGAAAACAAAGCTTATTAGTAAAGAATTATATTATTTACTAAGGAATTATACATTTGAGATGTGGATCATAGAAGTTGACCTTGTTTCCATTGTCCATGCCTCACCAACCCAATTATTTCTAAAAATTAAAATGGTGGCTTCTTGTTAAGTTTTATTGAAATTACAAGTTCAAATAATTTGTTATGACATGATTAAAAATTTGAAGGCGTAAATTTCAACGAGTAATTCTTTTCCGTTTTTTTAGTAAACCATAGCTAAAATCTTGCAAGGAAATAAAATAAGTCCCAAAGAATGCGCGTACAAAATATCACGTTTCTGGTTAAAACTCCATGTGGGTGTACTAGGTGACGAATGAAAAAGTTCCTTCAATTTTTAATATATAGTAAAAATCGACATGTTGCATAAATGTCGTCTGACTGATATATATTAATATATATTTAATTTTATGACTTGTAAATAAAAAAACTACTATTAAAAGCATTTTGAATATCCTGAGATCTGCATATTAAAATTTCTATTATCATCATTGATAGAATAGGCGTAACTTCTTTTCTAATGTATACACAGCCTATTTGAAAACCTTGTCGAGATCAAGTTAAAGAAGATAAACGACGATGGCGTCAAGAGAGAATATCAGCTGAAAGAGTAAACATTTGGCCAAGTATTAAATTTATCAAGTGAATCTTTATGTAATTATTCCATCTAACCGAATTTTCTGCTTTGCTCTAATCATATTCATTCTGCTTTAAGAACCACACAATGGTCCGACTTTGTTTAGTAATGTCAGAACCTGCTATTTATTTTTTTAGCGTGTGAGAAATTTTATTTATATATATTACATATCCTTATTTATACTTGAATGAGAAAAAAAATTATGATGATATTATTTTATTAATTTATATTTTATTTTATTTTATTTATAATTTGTATTAATCGTGTTCGACAGACTTGTAAAATAGTGACCTGACCATTTAAAGCTTTTGCCGAGTTTTTTTTCTTAAAAAGCATTTCAATGAAATATAACGTAAATCCTTCATTGAGAATCATTTCCATCCTGATACTGTCATTTTAAAGATCGGCGAATTTTGATTTTTAACGTTTTTTGATTTTTCAAAATGTCTAATAAAAATTATCCATCTTTTGAAAAGATCAATATTTTTTTTAACAATCTTATCAAATCCAACAAGGACGCTTTAACATTAAAATATTTTAACAAACTTTTAAACAATTTGACAAACTTGTTGAATGAATTTGATAATGATGTAGAAATCAAAGTCGAGGATGAGGAGAATGTTGAAACTTTCAAAGCTCATTCCAACATTTTGAAAGCAAGATCTTTGTATTTTAAAACTGTATTGTTAGATGATCACATGAAAAAATCTGAAAATGGGATCATTTTACTTGAAAAGAAAAATGTTCTCCAAAAGTGTTTGAAGGTCTTTTAACGTAAAAAATTATCTCTTAATATAAAAAAAACCAAATATATCTAAAAAGTTTAAAAAAATTATTTTTTCTAAAGATACATTTACAATGGAACTTTTAATATTGATAATTTCAATCCAGATGAAATTCTTAAACTATTGGAAGCTTGTGACGAATTAAATTTTAAAGAGTTGATTAAAGATTTGCAAAATCATTTAATTATGGAAAGCAAAGAATGGATTCAGAATGATCTAATTCATGTTCATAAATTTTCATCGAAGCGTCAAGAAGTATTCGGCATACTGCAAGTTCATTGTAATGAATTATTAATATTATTAATTGATAAAAATCCCGAGTTAGTTTTAAAGTCTGATAGCCTTGCAGCCATCAAAAAATCCATATTAGAAAGCGATTTGTTGGTATTGAAAGAAATTGAAATTTGGGATCATATTTTACGATGGGACGTTGGACAAAGTAAGGCATTTGAAAACCCCGTTTTGGAGTGGATCAAAGGTGATTTCAATGAAAAAAATTTTGAATGATGTTATTCCATTAGTAAGGTTCAACTTAATATCTTCGAACGATTTTTATAAAAAAATCAATCCATAGAAGAAAATATTTGATAGAGATTTATATGACGAGTTTCTTCAGCAACATCTTTGTAATGATTGGCAGCCAAAATTATTGTCTCAAAAATGACCAAGGATAGGAAACGGAATAAGAAAAGGAAAATTATTAAATCCAGAAATGGAATGTTTGATATCTAGCTGGGTTGATGCAGAATATGAAAATGACACTGATTACGAAATAGGAGGAAACTTGCCACGTAACAATAAATATGAATCGATTTTTAGCAGTTCTGAAGATGGAACTTCAAGGACAGTTATTGAAGAGAAATGCTACAACATTAAACAAACAGTTGTTATTATGAAACTTAAAGAGACAGTAGAGTTAGTTGGGGGATACAATCCAATTTGCTGGAATTTGAGGAACGATCTCTAGATGATGATTATTGTATCAAAACTGATAAAAGTTTTATTTTTAAGATTGATCAAGATGAAATAATTAATTCAGTATTGAGCAGGGTCAAACATCCTAATAGGGCAATATGTCATAATAGACAATTTGTGGATCTTACCGTAGATGATATAAAGTTTCATGAAAGGCTAATAGATTTTTGTGATTTAGACATGCGTAACAGTGTTAATAATGACACCTATTGCTGTTATGATCATGAACACTTTAATAGTTACAAAAAAAGATTTAGATTTTAAAGATAAGAACAAGAAAGTTTTTTTTGTTGGAAGAATTGGAAGTATATAAATTAATTGTAAATGTTTTGCATTAATTATCATATTTTTTAGACTTGGTCACATGATCAGTCACAGTAAAAAAAAAATCTCGATTAAAAATATACAAAATTTCTCTCCTCAAATTTTTTATTTTAGTTATCATTTTATTTTTGTTTTGTTTTTATGTTTTTTGTTTGTTTTATAATTTTAAAAGCTATTTACAAATATTTTTTTTAAAAGTAAAAATGCAAATTCATTAATATATATATATATATGTATATATATGTATATATTAAAAAACCCCCCTATGATTGATTAATCGAAAAAATAAAATTTGCTACACTGCTATGTTACACGCACTACTATATTGACTACTATTATTCACTTTTTTTAATTTTATAATTAAAATTTCTGTTGAAATTGATGATGGTGAAGACGATGATGATGAGCAGCAGAACTAGCCAATTGTTGATCTACAATATTATATGGTAAAGTCGAGTTTGTTGTTGTGGAAGATGACGGTAAAAAGTATCTTTGTTGTTGTTGGTCATTATTTACTACTCTTGTTGCTGCTAATAATGAAGAAGATGACGATCTCTCTTCTTCCGTTTGTTCTGATAATTGTTGTTGCTTTTGTAATTGTAGTTGTATTTGATAATGATATTGTTGTAATTGATATTCTCGTTGTTGCTGCTGTTGTTGTTGTAATTGATATTCTCGTTGTTGTTGTAATTGTATTAGATGATGATGGTGTTGTTGTTGTTGATATTGTTGTTGTTGTAATAAATTATCATTATTATTTTGTTGTTGTTGTTGTAACTGTTGAAGTTGTAATTGGTGCTGAAGTTGTAATTGTTGTTGATAACGATTTAGATTTTGCATGGAATTTTGATTTTGATTACTATTGTTATATTGATGTTGGTTTTGATTTTGTAAATGCAATTGGTGTTGTAAATGCAAATGATGTTGACGATGTAGTGACGGAGAAGGATTTGTTATAAATTGATTGTTCCTGTGTTGATGATTATTGTTATAATATGGATAAGGTGCTGACGAATAATATTGATTAAATATTAATTGTTTTTTTGATTCAAGGATAGCATTAGGAGTAGTAGTTGCAGATACATTATTTTGTGATTGACGTTGGTTATAACAATGTGATTCTAATTGTGATGGAACTATTACTGAGTTTTGTGGTGCAGTAGCAGCAGGATTTGGATTAGGTGTTTGCGTTGGATTAGTATGATGAATTTGGTGTGGATTAATAGTGAAGTTGGTAATATTATTGGCGGTAAAATGCATCATCATAGGATTGGGTGATGGAGTTGTGAGTGGAGTTGAAACAGGTGTTATTGTTGGCGTAGGAATTGAGGAATTATTATCAGATGAAAGATCTGTTTTCGAATTACAAAAATTATAAAGATAAATGTTAAAAATATATATCTAGAAAATCAACTAATTGATTGATTTATTGTATACAATAGAGTTGACAACCAATAAAATAAATTTACCTGTAACCATATTCATGTAATTTGGATAATTAAGATGATGCATAGACTGATCGTTTATTAAACCACCGCCACCATTACCACACTCCAATGATAATTTATGACTATTATTGTTAAGCATAGCGTAATGATATTGTTGTTCGATTCTAGCCATTTGTTCACAAAGTTCTTCGTGTTCATAATAAGGAACAGTTTCCATTATATCCAAAGTTCGCTGTAATCTTGCTTCCAACCATTTTTGTAGCTCGTCAATACAAACAATAGTTTTATACCTTTCGTATGTTGAGAATACCTCGTCAGTCCAATAAATTTGTGATGCTCCGTAATTTATAAATGGTAAAACGTCCAACACTTCATTTGGAATTAGATAATTGATATAAAGCTGATCATGCCTATGTTTAGTAATATCACCATGTGAGCAATTAGCCAGTTAGTAAAAATATGAGATATAACATAATTTATGTAATTATTATTATTTTTCCCGGTTATATATATATATATACCTCAATGTTTTCTTATCTAAACAAAAACTACAACACCTAACGCGAAACTCCCAATAAATTCTAACAAATCCACGTTCATGGCAAAATTGACAACCTTTATCCAATTGTCTTAAAATTATATAACTGGCTTCATTCATTCCAACAGGTGGTGGCATTTGAAGATATTTTAGAAACCTTTGTCGTGAAATCATCCAAGTCTCTTGGACGACTTTATTATTTGAATCACCAAATGACAATAGTCGTTTAAATTTTTTACAAACTGAAGCAAGCACGAACAGATCGTTTGGCGGTAACCTTTTACATATATTATAAAATACTTCATCTGATATTGATAATAATAAACTTTCGCTGTTTCTATTACTGGTAAAAGTTGAACTATTATGATTGTTACTAACAATACTTTTGTTATTGACAATGGAATCATTGGCTAGTAAAGGTGTTGTTGACGTTGATGTTGGACCGTTGTTATTTGGAAGAGAAACAGGAGTTATTGGAGTAGTTATTGGAGTCATTAATAAATCACTGCCGTTACTATATTGTTGATCTTGAAGATTATTCTGATATTGATTTATTATTAATTCAGTTGGAGTTATGGTTGATGTCGTTTTCTTTAATGATGATTCGTTAATTGGTTGTGATAATAATAAAGGTGATTGTTGTTGTTGTTTAGATAATGAAGAAGAAATATCAATTTTAGAAATTTTTGGAGAAATATCAATTTTAGAAATTTTCGGAGAAATATCAATTTTAGAAATTTTTGGAGAAATCATTGTTGATTTTCTTCTTCCTTTCGTTATACCACCACCACTAACACTTGTTGTTGTTGTTGTTGTGTTAACAGTGTTATTTTT